TAGAGGTTCCGAGTTTACTCATTAGTGAGTGGTTTATGTATGACCTTTCCCTATTCTAATGCCTGCTTCTTCCCGATGCTCCAAAGCTAAGATTTTCCTCTTATGCTATTTCTTTTTTTTTTTTTTAAATGAGACTATTTTTAAACTTGTACCAAAGCTGATGTTATAACATTGTGTTTCAGGTTGGGCCTTGTTGCAACCATCAAGGTATGCAATTTGCTTACTACCAAACATTTTTTTTATGGGGACTACCATTAATATTGATCTGGAAAAGTTCCAAGTAGCAGGAAGTCTGAGGGGCTTCGACATATGCAAAAGCACCATTATCTTAATTTTCTCTATAGTACCATTAATAATTTGATTTGCAAAACAGTGATGGCTAGTCCTTAACTTATTTAATACTTTAGAAGTTCAACAGAATGCTTTATGATGGAGAAATATTTGTTACAAGCTTTTCTGTTGTCTTTTCTTATTTGGTTCAACTGTATTGGACCATTGTTCTCTGAGTTGAAGCTTGAAACCAAGTCTTTTTAATTGAGACCAGGCCTTGAATGGAAATGGTTGTTACAGGCCATTGGCTAGTGATAGGATGAAATAATGGACAACCAGTAGATGACTTTTAATTGGTTTGGTGTCTTGTGGTTTCTGGATACTGGATTTATCCTTTTTGGTGCTGATTGATGAATCTTAATTTTGTTTGCTATTTGGAGTACAAAATAGGTTTAGTTGCTTCTGCAGATGTTCCATCTTGCTTTGATATAGTACATTTGGTTGAAGAGAAATGCTATGCTTTCAAGGGAAAGATAAAATTCAAGTGGGAAGGGTCTTTGAGACTTGATTCCAGAGTTTTTTTATTTGTGTGTGTATGTGTATGAGCAAGCGAGCGAGCAAGTGCATTTTCTTCACATCATAGCCAGACTTGTATAACAATAACAAGTTGTGCATTCAAAATGTTTGTGCTAATTTTTACCAAGTTGGTTGTTTGGGCAAAACTCTAGCAAAAACTTCTAAAATTTGAAATTTTTTTTTGTTAAAAGGAGTGTAGAAGGTTATGAACTTATGATTGTACCTTCGGTGGATTGTCTGTTCATTGATGTTGCATTATTTTATTTTATTTACATTGATAAAGTTCTACTGTTACCTTCTTGCAATTGATAAAAGGGACCTAAGGACCTTAATATTCCCAGACTGATGTTTCAACCTGATAAATCTTTCTGTTTTCTTGATATTTAAAGTTTTTAGTACAAATTAATATGGTTTTTAGGGTGTTAAAGAAAAGAAACAGACGTCATCCAATTATACATGTGCTTGGTCCATCTTCTGACAAAAACAGGAATAACCCCTGCTAAAATTGTAGTTTTCTGGCTTGTCTATAGTTCACTTTAGTATATTTTAGGATGTTTGGTTTATTCTTTCATTTCTTGTATAACTATTTTTCTCTTACCGTTTGGGCATGCATTGGATTAGAGCATTATATCTAATGGTGCTTTTATGATTGGTTTAAAGGATCGGGCTAATGAGATATATAAAAGGGTGGAAGATCAGAAATCTAGTAGAGGAAGAAATCAGGATGCACTATTGGCTGCTTGCCTGTACATTGCTTGTCGACAAGAAGACAAGCCACGCACTGTAAAGGGTACGGCTTATGATTTCTTTTTACATATGGATGCTTCCTGAATTATCTCTGCCTTTGTGTATGAGCTTCCCTGAATCTGTGGATTTCAATTAGAAATTTGCTCTGTCGCCAATGGAGCCACAAAGAAGGAAATTGGCCGAGCAAAAGAATACATAGTGAAACAACTGGGATTAGAGAAGGGTCAGTCAGTGGAGATGGGAACAATACATGCTGGGGACTTTATGGTGAGAAGTTTTTCATTATCTCTTTAATTCTATTTGAAGCAAATAAACAATCATTAAATTTCGTTGATCTAGGCAACAAATCATACTTAATACATTTTCCTAGTTTGTTGTTGCCATTGACATAATATCTACTGAATTGCAGAGGCGATTCTGTTCCAATCTTGGTATGACTAATCAAGCAGTCAAAGCTGCCCAAGAAGCCGTGACAAAGTCAGAAGAATTTGATATTAGGTAGTTCCCTTTTTAATGCATTACGAACAAGAAAAAGGGTATTATTTGATGAATGCATAATTGGATGACTGGAAGTGTTCCTTTCTTATTGTGTGTGTTATCAACATAGTAACACATTCATTTTACAGAAAACAAGGGCTCTATAAAAGCAATAGAAAGCTAGTTTAAAGAGCCAAATCCATAAAAATCATCTCCAAGAGACTAAATGACTCTATAATAGCAAAGTGAGCAGTTGGTTCAAATTAATAAAACTCAAAGGTGGACCCGTGAACCGAGGAGAAAAGGAAGAGAGATAAGGTGGTTCTAGAAAAGAAGTGGGTTGTGTCTTTTCTTTTTGAAATGATCAACGATAAAATAACAAAAGTTTGTTCAAATAGAGAGTTGTTGAAGATGAAATTTAAGGAGAGTAGCTAAAGTAGTTTTTTGACACTGTTCACCTGCTAAACAAGCAAATTTAACAAAACTGTTGGAGATGCTCTTAGGGCATGTTTTGGTTGAGATTGGCTATGTGTTATTAGGTATATATACTGGTACGATTAAAGTTTCTAATAAATTGAGTTTCCTTTCCTTTTCTACTTTAATTTATCAGTATAATGTTTATAGTTGAGCTCAAAGAAATTATGAGAAGAAATTATGGGAACAATGGTATTCTTTGTTCATTTCCCAGCAATTCTGTTTTGGATAGTGACGAGGAGTTGCATGATATGAAAAAAAAATATTCATCATGTGATTTCTTGTTGCAAATGAAATTCATTGGTATTATTATATACCCTTCGTATATAAGGCGTGAAGATTCTTTATTTTAAGAATGGTCCGTTCAGCTACACCAATCTGCACTAGTTGCTTCTAATGATGGATTTTTTTTTTTCTTTTTTTTTTTGTCTAAATTTCAGGAGGAGCCCTATATCGATAGCAGCAGCAGTTATTTATATTATCACCCAGCTTTCAGATGACAAGAAGCCTCTCAAAGGTCAATATCCTCTCCTTTAGAAACAGGGGAATTAGCGTTTGAAAATTGTGGTTGAAAGCTTGTTGATTGGGTTTGCTATAGATCCAATCTTGATGGCTTTACATTATTCATTTCTAAATCATTTTTCTCCCATCCTACAATCTTATAGCTTCATTTGGAGCTCGTTTGGAAAATGCTTTTAACATGGCTGAATGTGCTTTTGGTGAAAATGTTTTTTTTTGGAACTAATCCTTAGTAAAAATGCAAGTAAATCCTAGAAACTTTGCTTTCTGGAAGAAGCACCACATAACTGGTGCCTCTTACAGAAAGCAGTTCAAGTGTTTTTGGAACGCAAAAAATTCTCTCTAAAAGTGCTTTCAGTCATTTTAAAAGCAGTTCCAAACGAGCAATTAATTCATTCTTAATTAGCGCTGACGTACGCAATGGCCAATGTGAGTGCAGATATCTCCGTTGCTACAGGAGTAGCAGAAGGAACAATCAGAAACTCATATAAAGACCTTTATCCCCATGTGTCAAAGATTATACCTGGCTGGTACGCAACGGAGGATGCTGTCAAGAGCCTTTGCAGTCCTTGAAATGTAGGCGAAGCGGATTTAATTAAGAACACAGAGAAAGTTGAATTGAATTGAGTTTTTTTTTTCTTTCCCTTGCGTTACCATCGGATGTATGAACGATACAGAAGGCTTAAATTGTTTTATAGAATTCCTTGTCATAGGAAATTATATATTCAATCGACTCAACTGAAATATATGCTTAAACTAGCAGAATGTTTTCGAGTTTTGAACTAGCAGAATGTTTCACCTCAGAAGTACCATGACTGCAAAGTGTGATCGTTTTAAATTGGGAGCTTTAACGAAGAAGGTTTTTCCAAATTTTTTCTTAACCAAAAACACCTTTATTTAATGAAAATGACAAAAATTACGTACATCAAGTTTGGTTGAGGAAAGAGGGCGTCGATACGAACTCGTAGCACTTACATTACATAGAAGGGAAGTCCATGAGAAGGGATTAAACTTCTGTCGGGAGTAGAGGGCCAATTTCGTAAATTTAGGTAAAAAATCGAAAAAAACATCACCTTTGGAGAGCTCAATATGACTAGGCATCGAATTTCAACATGTGGGACTTTTATGAAAAGAAGAGGTCGTCGATATGAACTCGTACCCTCTATCTTTGCGTGATTTCATTACAATATGAAAGTCCTAAGAAGGACTTAAGATTGGAAAGAATGATACGAGAGGGAAGAAAACAAGATGGGAAAAGAAAACGGGACTAAAACTGTCAAGGGACAAAATCGAAACTCGGTCAATTATTTTGGTAGAACCAATCTATTGGGCTAGTTTGATGTTGGATTTTGTCCTATCATTAAACAAAGTTGTTAACAGATTCTTAGTTAAAATTCGAAGTTTTGAAGCCTTTTCTATTAGTTTTTCTTTTTAAATTATGTCTCCAACGGTTCATTCCAACGAAACTCGGTCAATTATTTTGGTTGGACCAATCTATTGAGCTGGTTTGATGTTGAATTTTGTCCTACCATTAAATAAAGTTATTAAGGCATTTTTTGTTAAAATTCAAAGTTTTGAAGTCCCTTTTTTTTTTTTTTTGAACAATCGATATAATCTGCACTAAGGGTAGGGGTGGGCTTAGCCTCACAATTGATTAGCAATAATGTGATTCAAATTCACCTTTAGCGAGAATCAAACCTAAACCCTCTCACTTACCGATGAAGATGAAGAGTGAAGAGGAATACCACTAGTGGCAAAAGTTTACATTCAACAACAGGATTATAAGAATTCTTTACCAGTGAACGTACGATTAGCGAACGACCGGATCCATAGCGTCACTGGTGTCGGTAAAATCGTGGAGGTACCTCCGTAAGCCAAGGATCTATAGATAAGAATTCTTTACTGACCTGAATAGATATATCAAAACACAAGAAGCATTTGAAACCACAGTGACTCTATTTGTGCACTTCTATAAACAACCATCTTTTCTGTACAAAATGTTATCAAGAACCCATGTATTGAACTTATTTAGCAAAACTAAGTACCAGCACCCTGAAACTATGCAGAACAAGTAACGTACACACGCTCAGCGATCTCAGCTCATCAGCAGACAACAAAGTTTTCAAATATAATTTATCCGCTTTTCTATATATTCTACACCTTACATAGCACAAACCTGCGAAACGAGTAAAAGCCCAGTTGTCAAGGCTACATCAACTGTTCATGCTCCTTTTTCCTGCTCTTGTGGCAAAGTAATGCATGGGTAAACCCTTTGGAAGAGAGGTTGCCAAGCAACTGTTAGCATGCACTTCACCAACCAGTAGAGCAAAATTAAATGCATCATCATTCTTCGGGCTGAAATAAAGCGAAACTTGAACTAGTCTCAGTCTTTGTAATCTGCATTGCAATATATAAAATCTTTATAAGGTGAACTTGCACAAGGAAATATAATTATGGGAGCAGCTCACCATTACACCTTAGGGCCCTTGATCTAAGACTGAACATCTTGGATGAAGGGAAGGGGGCAATTTAATAGATGTTTCCATACTGTGAAGATTAACTGGTTTATCCATCCCATGCCCCAACGAAAAACAAAAATGACGTCCCATGACAAGGAGTGATGGTTTATTATTTTATTGTTAATGGTTTTGTGATTAACATGTTATTTATGAAAGCTAAGTGACGGTTTATTACTCTCTTGGGAACATGAACACAAAACAAAAGGAGAGATTCTCAAAGAGTAGTACCAACCTCAGTAGGACGAGAAATTCCAGAAGGAAGAACAGGAGCAAGAGACGTCCAGAGAATGGGGTCTACCAAGGGATCGATGGCACTGTAGCTGGTCAGAAGTGGTGCAGACAAGAAGGGAGCCAATGGGAACACATCTCTTTGGTGAGACGGTCCACCACTCATTCCTAATGCAGACCTAAGTCCCTCATCACGACTTGTGGATTTCTCGACTGCTTTGCCATGGTCCATCTTGTGGATGGTATTTTTGTTTTCATTCTCATCATTATCTGCATCTTTTTCCTCCTTTTGTGATGCTTTCTCTTGCAAGTTCTTATATGCCGCTGACCTTGAAAGGATGCTCATGGCTGAGACTCTGGTACCTTTATGCTTTTTACTTACATGGGAGATGCCCAAACAGGGCATCTGGTATGGTTCAGTAGGCTGGATTTCCCATTCCAATGTTTTAAGTTCAGCTCCAAGATCTCCAACACAACCGTGTTTTGTTTCTTCTGACGATTTCATGCTAGTTTCAGCTTGACGAGATCTGTTGGGTCCCCACCACTTGATGTAACTTGTTAGGTCAATCTTTCTTTCAGTGCAAAAAGCTCCCAAAAGTTCACTTTCTGTTGCTGGATCAACGCCTGTACCTTCAGGTCGTATAAGACAGGAATGGCACTGATTCAGGTAGTAATCCAGATGAAAGGAATATAATAAATTCAAAATCCTGCAGCTGCAACTTTGTTTGCCGAAGAATCAGTTCGAGGGACTGATTTTTCAGAGCCCTCTTATCCAAATTGCTTCAGTTCAGCATCTTTTGAGGACTTACCATAATGTAAGCTATTGAAGTACTCAGATCCACCCATACGACCCAGTGACGGCTCCCAACGACTGTTAAGTGTACAACAAGATAAAAAGTTCAGAACAGAATGAAGAAATTACAGACATTGCACAGAATTTGGAGATATTTTATGCCTCTACTAGCTGAGAGTCCAGAAACAGCAACAACAAAGCCTTTTCCCACTAAGTGGGGTCAGCTGTATGAATCCTAGAATGCCATTGCGCTTGGTTCTGTGCCACGCCTAGCTGAGAGTCAACAACACAAAAAATTGGTACTGTAGTGATGCAACGCACAGCAATGGCCAAGTTTTCCACGGTTTTGTTCGGTTCAAAAGTGGGATTGTAAACGTTAAAAGCTAACTAAGAACACGATATAGAAGAAAATACAGATAACATAATATTATTTAAAACTTTGGTGGAATTGAGTTATATACAACAAGATTTTTACTTCTGTCCAAAACGCAGTTAGGGACGGTTGAGACCTAAAAAGCAGAAGAAAATAACTCTACTGGCATAACAAACAAAGATCAATCTGAAAAAGTTATAAATGAGCATCTTTAAGGAATAACATAATGTGCCAAGAAGTCCTATGAGAAACGAACTACATACATTGTGCCTACAAGCAACAGTTAAAGGTAAAGCATACCTGGAAAGCCCACGGTACTTAGAAAGTCCTCTTGAGAAACCACTGCTTTTCCTGCAAGAGTAGAATAACTACTATTAGACATGTGCATATTAATTAAGATCCAAACATGTACTTAAAATCTATATACACACCTCCGAAGAGAAGCAAGGTATTCCTCCCTTGACAGATTCTGCATCTCTTCAAGATCTCTTGTGTAATCAGTAACCTGCAATAATTGAATGAGGAGCTAACGTGAACAAACAGAATACTTTAGTTGATAACTTGAAAATATTTACATATCCTCATACATTTCCAATCCATGGCATGAACTAAGATGTTGATTTGAAAAACTTAACTGTGTTCTCTTACTTACGGTATACTCAACAGTAAAACAAATGCTACCCCAATTACCAGAAGGGAAGAAATTTCAAGTGAAATAAAAACAATAAAATGAAATCAGCAAATCAATGGCATTAATCTCACAGGAAAATTGATGAGAGTGCCAGGGCCCCAATATTTCAAGGCAGCAAGATCATAAGCTCTAGCTGCAGCCTCTTCATCGTCATACGCCCCTGTAAATTCCATATGCTACTCAAGGATTAATAATTAAACCGATAGCTTCACATGAAATTGCCAATTTCTTAAGTAATTCATGGAAAACTGAACCCCCAACTTACCCAAGTAAACTGGAATATATATCGAATTGTCAAGCGCCAACATTTGCAAGCACAATCCAAGAAATCAAATGCTTGTCAGAAATTACAAATTAATACAATATTTATACACAAACCCAAAAACGATACATATATATATATATATTTTAGAGGGAGAAAAGAAAGAAGAGAGACCTTGCTTTCCCTTCTTATTCTGGTTCTGATTCCAGGTACTTTTATCCCAAAGATGAGCCTCATAACGACCTGTCCACCTATGCCTACATTTCCATACCCCAAATTCCCAATCAAATCAAATCAAAATTCCTCTTTCTTTTTTGTTTCTCTGCAACCAAACAGAAGGAGAAAGAGGAGAGGAGCTTAATTACCGAGTGACTCCACGGTAAATGGAGCTGCGTTTTCCAGCAGCACACGGAGGCATCTTGCTGATGCGCTCTTTCGCCGTACATCCTCTCTCTTTCTTCAATTTCTTTACCCCTCTGTACACCATTAGCTGATCGCTCGCCATCACCGCCTCCGACGGCTCTGCACCCCCACCGCCACTGCCGCCGCCGCTTTCGGTCTTCGGACCGGGATCCGAGGACGACGACGCCATGATTGAACACTCCAATTGAACCCAAACTAAAACCCTAGAGAGAGAAATGGAGCGAGAGAGAGAAAGAGGGAGATGAGTGACTGAGTGTGAGTGAGTTGTTTGGGTTTGTGTTCGTTTCAGTGAATCACTGTGGAGGGGAACAGCTACAGTGGGAGAAGGTGAAATTACGAACGTACCCCTGTTTTGTTTTCACGATGGCGATCGTGATGATTTGGCAAGTTCAGATTGACAAAAGTTGTAACGGCTAGGATGGGAAGCAGAGGGTGGTTGCATAATTTAGGATGCTTTTCAAAGTGTATACTGCGTAGTAGTGGCGTTAACTGCGAACGCCACGTGGTCCGCTGTACGTTTTATAGTTTGAAAATATAGGAGGTGCCACCGCACTTAAATGACAGTGACACCCTCAGTTCCCTCTTCGTACACGCCATTGCTAGGCTTGATGGGATATGTGTCATCTTGAATTAAAGGTATAAAAGTAAAAATTGTCGTGATTTGTTTAAAAATTTATCTCTAACCGATTATTCAGATATAATTCTGTAGAGCCTACTACGTCATTATTTGGTCAAAATAACATCAGACTAGCCAAATATAGTCCCCACTCTTAGCCTTTTTTTGATGCTCAACGCCTCAATTACAATAATTTATTCAAATTTAACGGCTAGATTTGAAAGAATACAAGGTAGTTTAATAAAATTAACCAATAAATTTAAAGTATAAACTTAAAACTAATAAATTATTGAGAAAATATGTTTAGCTCATTCGTTTGAAGATGATATATAAGTATAACATGACAATGTTCATTTAAAAATAATTTTTTACATGGCTATAATTCTAGACGGAGTTATATCTAACCATTTCGGTTGGAGATGGCCTATCCAATTAAAATGGCTATGAGTCTAATTTTTTGTTTGGTGGTGTTAAATGTGTCTCGAACAAGATAGATTATGATAGGTATGAGTCCAAAATAAAGTGGGTTATGTAACCCAACCTCACACACAGGGTACAAGTGAAAGAGCGCGTGGGTTGTAACAGAGAAGCATACACATGAAAAAAAAAAAAAAACAAAAACAAAAAGAGCCCTAAAGTGTCAGTTGAGGAAGTCTGAAAGTGTTGAATAGTGTAAATAGAGTTGTACACATCGTTGTAAATATGTCTCGTAGAGTTATAAACTTGTGACTTTTGTCCAATCTCCTGTGTTCCAAAGCTAATGTTGATGTTCCCTTCAGCTCATTGGCATCGGAGTTCGAATTTTGTTGTTAGATCAGTTTGAACAACTTCTTTCAGCCGCATTGGCTAAAGCTGCATTTCATCTTTTACGTTAGCAGCACAAATTGTGCGGAATCAATCAAAATGTGACATATATGGAAAAATAATTAAGCAAACCAAAAACATAAAAAAAAAAAAAAAAAAAAAAATAGATCCTTTCTCCGTACATACTTATTTGATATGTGTATTATCATCTTCTCCACCTAGTCTCCTAATATTGTCTTACCAGATCTCAAGTATACGCGTTCCGTCACATTACTGTTTTACTACAGGAGTGCACCACATTCTCAAAATTAACAAGCAATGCCCGCGAAATGCCTTAACAGATAAAATTACTAATCGATGCTCTTAAATTCTATTTAAAACTTCACAAATCTTGTCTATTTATGAATAGTAAGTTAGTAACCGGAGGTGCTAGAGTACTGAAAAAAAACCATTACCTATAGCTAATGGTTCACAGCAATTTAACACTAACAGAATCTAAAGAATTAGTCAAATAGAAAAGCAGTACCTCCTTCCTAATGGAATCACTTTGAGTCAGTTAGCAGCTGCACATTGTGAGGTAGTTGGCAACGCAGCATCCAGTTACCATATATGCAATACTGTCAACCATTACTCCAGATATTAATTTCCCTACCACCCCGAGAGTGTCCAGAGACTTGCCAGATTTTTTTTCGCTGCATTCTACGATTAGCTGAAGTAATTGATCCAAAGCTCCATTACGTAGAAGCGATCAGAAAGTGCAAGAGCAAGATGAACATACTGTCAGCGACTGGAAACAGTAATATTTCCTTAAATTTCAGTACGATGACCATACTATCCCAAAACCAAACAAAAGATGAACAGAATAGTCACCCATAACACCCCCTCCCTCCAAAGAAAAAAAGGGAAATTGCTGTTAATATGCTCCACAAAAGCAGATAATTCATGCATGAGAACATAAAGGTATTGAAGATGCTATTCCAACATACGTTACCTTCGAAAACTCGTCTTGTCAGTCCCTTGCTTCTTTAGAACCAGAACTCGCCATACCATCATGCTCTTTTTCTACTGGAAGATCTCTGAGTATGAAGTCATTCCATTTGAAATTGATTAAGAAATGCCAGTTCCAGCTCAGAATTCAAAGTAAATAGGCCAACATGTATAGCAAAAATATATCTTTACACGGCTAGATAAGAAGATAAACTACAAGTCAACTAATGGTACTCCCTTAAACACATGCTACGACGGCCACAAGTGAACTAAGATGTTGTAATATACAATAATTCATCAGAAACAGAAATATGCAAACTACTAAAATCAAGAATTTTGTAGCTTTCAAGCAAAGTCTAAGCCAAACGGACCATGACACATAATAAAGAACAAATCATGTGTATTGCTTTTTCTCCAACATTTTATTAAAAGCAAAGGGAAAAAGAAGAGAAATCTTTATTCAAGAAAAGGGAATTAGAAAACAGGATGAACAAGATATCCGCCAGGAACACAACAACAAAGACAAAGTTAAACCAAACAGGATGTTAGACATACAGACACTCATCATAAAAAATAATTGGTAACTGAAAACCATGTACGTAAATTGCGAGTATTGCAATTTCAACTACGCTTTGTAAAAGGGATTTACAAAGTAAGTTATATAGATCGACACCAATCCTAACAAATACAGAATCAAAGAATACTAAAGAATTAATGAATCATAACTAGAATCACAAAATTTTATTTGACAAAGCAGCTTCAAAATCGGGTCATTCATCGCACATGGAGTTTATATCGGCAGTTGGGACACGTCTTCTTATCCATGTTGAACCAGCGAAGGATGCAAGATGGGTGATAGACATGAGAGCACGGCATCCGAATGAGCTCACTCGCGGTCCCACCAGACAATTCCTCCAAACATACACTGCAAGAACCTAGGTCGCCGTCACCCCTTTCGAAATATCTCTCTGCCCCCAATTTCTCAACCACAAAGTCCATTGAAATTGACGACGAAGTTGAACCGCCATCACTACTACCAATCGAAAGCAAAGCCATTGAGTCGGACATATCATCAAACAGTTGGTCGACATATTCAATGGTTAGGATTTTAACCGTAGCCACCATAACAAAGCCCAAGGAGCCATTAGGGTTTGCCAATTTCCGGGCCATGGATTTGATCCGGGGGGCTAATGCTTGGTAGATGGCAGGATCAAGGTTGAGGGAAGAGGAGAGAGATCGTAAGTGAGCGCGCAACTCAGGGAGTAGGAGTTGGCGGGGAGCGAAACGGAGGGTAGCGTAGCGATCAGGACCCAGTGGAAATTCATCGAGAATAAAGGCGTGGAAGCGTTTCTGAAAAATTTGGTCCTGACGGAGAGAAAGCTCACCGACAAATTGGGACTTAGAGTTCGCCGGAGATTGGAAACCCTGAAGCGTCACATGGACCCAGTAGTCGGAAGATCGGAACGAGAACGACGAACGCTGAAACTCCATTGATCGATTAGAGATTTGAGATCAGACGACCAGAGGTTTGAAAATTTGAAACTTGAAAATCGTTGAGCGAGAGAGAGAGAGAGAGATGAGAGATTTGAGATCGCTGGAGAAGAAGGAAGAAATAAGGGCGGGTGAGACAGACAGAGACTCCGCGTATTAGTTTTATAGCCGTTAGCTTCTGGGTTTTTCAGGTTGGTTTGGGCAAGTCGGTTTGGGCGTACATTTGGCGCTGATTTTTGAATTTTGTGAGGAATTTTTTATTTTTTAAATCCCCTTTTTTGGAATAATATTTTAAAGGTAATGCTGGGAGATCAATTTTTAAATTAAATTTGTAAAGCAAATGGTGTGGTGGTTGATTATTAGATTCTTACATAAGTGTTGATTAACGTACTTATTTCCTATTTGTTACAAATCACTTAATTTATAAATTTTAGTTTAAAAATTTAATCTCGATAGCATTATCTCTTCTCTAATAGCCATTCTAGTCCTTTACTTCTATTTAAGGCGAATAATTCTAGGGCTCATTATGGTCTTCTAGACATCAACAAAAAGTAACCTAATTTTGAGGGTTTTTAGTTTTTGACTATTGAATCTTTACATAATTTCTTTGTTTTGTTGTTACCGAATACGTTGATGGCTTCACATGACCTTTTTGCAATGGCAAAAAGTAATATAAAAGGATGTAAAGGCTGACAGATTCTGTGCTCAGGTGTGGATTCCCACCAAGTTTGGGACCGAGCAAGGCACTCGGTACACATTGTTCTAAGAAAACATGCAAGTGGACCTGAATGGATGTCACTGTGTCACCATGTATCGACTAAAGGGTGGAGGAATAGCTAGCAAATCATACATACGTATTGGCGCATTAAATGTGAAAGCGATGGAAGACTTAAGCCTAGGGACTTGGGGCTCATCAAGGGTGAGTACTCCTTAGAATGAGTCAAACAAAAAGAGAGAGACTTGTTTATGCAGACTGCTCTCTATAATGTTTCATTCAATATATGAGTGACTTAGTGGACATAGCCTAGTTTTGAGGGGTATGAGTGACTTAGTGGACATAGCCTAGTTTTGAGGGGTGAACCACTTAAACATTATTGTTCATTTCTTATCATTGCGATCCCGAGCCCACCAAGGGCCGACTACACGACTATACTGATCTTTGTTGACCTCCTAACTTGAGCGTTAACAAGGTTGAGATTGCAGATTGGGGTTCTGATTGCAAATTTGGCTTGAAGGCCCAATACCCATCCCGAATTGAAAAATCAAAACCATTTCGGTAAAATCGGTTCGATTTCAATTTTTTGCCTCCTTTTTTCGAACCTTTCCGGTTCGCTTTTTGGACTTGATGGCCGCAGATGGCGTCTCACCGTAGTAGCAGAAAATAATCATGTCTAAGTATTCTGGTTCTTGTTCAATACACACCAATCTCCCTCCCCTAACTAACACTATTGTTTTGTCAACAAAACAAACAAACAAACAAAAAGAAAAAAAAAACACCCACATTAGTTATTTCATGTTAAAGAAAACAAATACGTTGATCTGATCTTCTATGCCCTGGGAAGGATTTTCATGTTAAAAATTTAGTGGGCTGCCTTCCAAATTTTATTGACAATAAAACTAAAGAAATTTATACTGTATATCCCATATAATGACACATTCACTCGTCAGATAATTTTTAGACAGGGCGACGTGAGAATTATATGGAAATTTGAATGTCAATGTCAGTCTTGTAAATAAGCATCTTACCAAACTTAGTCCAAACTGAACTTTACATCCCAACATAATCTTTACTCTTTAGAAAGGGTGCATAATAAATTTCACATTGTAATAAGTTATAATTTTGTAAATTACTGCTTAAAAACGTGTTTTCACATAACAGTAATAGTCAATGTATCCAAAAAATTAGTCAAATAGAAAAGCAGTACCTCCTTCCTAATGGAATCACTTTGAGGCAGTTAGCAGCTGCACATTGTGAGGTAGTTGGCAACGCAGCATCCAGTTACCATATATGCAATATTGTCAACCATTACTCCAGATATTAATTTCCCTACCACCCCGAGAGTGTCCAGACTTGCCAGATTTTTTTCCCTGCATTCTATGATTAGCTGAAGTAATTGATCTGAAGCTCCATTACGTAGAAAGCGATCAGAAAGTGCAAGAGCAAGATGAACATACTGTCAGCGACTGGAAACAGTAATATTACCTTAAATTTCAGTACGATGACCATACTATCCCAAAACCAAACAAAAGATGAACAGAATAGCCACCCATAACACCCCCTTCCTCCAAAGAAAAACGGGAAATTGCAGTTAATATGCTCCCCAAAAGCAGATAATTCATGCGTGAGAACATAAAGGTATTGAAGATGCTATTCCAACATACGTTACCTTTGAAAACTCGTCTTTTCAGTCCCTTGCTTCTTTAGAACCAGAACTCGCCATACCATCATGCTCTTTTTCTACTGGAAGATCTCTGAGTATGAAGTCATTCCATTTGAAATTGATTAAGAAATGCCAGTTCCAGCTCAGAATTCATAGTAAATAGGCCAACATGTATAGCAAAAATATATCTTTACACGGCTAGATAAGAAGATAAACTACAAGTCAACTAATGGTACTCCCTTAAACACATGCTACGACGGCCACAAGTGAACTAAGATGTTGTAATATACAATAATTCATCAGAAACAGAAATATGCAAACTACTAAAATCAAGAATTTTGTAGCTTTCAAGTAAAGTCTAAGCCAAACAGATGATGACACATAATCAAGAACAAATCATGTGTATTGCTTTTTCTCCAACATTTTATTAAAAGCAAAGGGAAAAGGAAGAGAAATCTTTATTCAAGAAAAGGGAATTAGAAAACAGGATGAACAAGATATCTGCCAGGAACACAACAACAAAGACAAAGTTAAACCAAACAGGATGTTAGACATACAGACACTCATCATAAAAAATTATTGGTAACTGAAAACCATGTACGTAAATTGCGAGTATTGCAATTTCAACTACGTTTTGTAAAAGGGATTTACAAAGTAAGTTATGTAGATCGACACCAATCCTAACAAATACAGAATCAAAGAATACTAAAGAATTAATGAATCATAACTAGAATCACAAAATTTTATTTGACAAAGCAGCATCAAAATCGGATCACTCATTGCACATGGAGTATATATCGGCAGTTGGGACACGTCTTCTTATCCATGTTGAACCAGCGAAGGATGCAAGATGGGTGATAAACATGAGAGCACGGCATCCGAATGAGCTCACTCGCGGTCCCACCAGACAATTCCTCCAAACATACACTGCAAGAACCCAGGTCGCCGTCACCCCTTTCGAAATATCTCTCTGCCCCCAATTTCTCAACCACGTAGTCCAATGAAATTGACGACGAAGTTGAACCGCCATCACTACTACCAATCGAAAGCAAAGCCATTGAGTCGGACATATCATCAAACAGTTGGTCGACATATTCAATGGTCAGGATTTTAACCGTAGCCACCATAACAAAGCCCATGGAGCCATTAGGGTTTGCCAATTTCCGGGCCATGGATTTGATCCGGGGGGCTAATGCTTCGTAGATGGTAGGATCAAGGTTGAGGGAAGAGGAGAGAGATCGTAAGTGAGCGCGCAACTCGGGGAGTGGGAGTTGGCGGGGAGCGAAACGGAGCGTAGCGTAGCGATCAGGACCCAGTGGAAATTCATCGAGAATAAAGGCGTGGAAGCGTTTCTGAAAAATTTGGTCCTGACGGAGAGAAAGCTCGCCGACAAATTGGGACTTAGAGTCCGCCGGAGATTGGAAACCCTGAAGCGTCACATGGACCCAGTAGTCGGAAGATCGGAACGAGAACGATGAACGCTGAAACTCCATTGATCGATTAGAGATTTGAGATCAGACGACCAGAGGTTTGAAAATTTGAAACTTGAAATTCGTTGAGCGAGAGAGAGAGAGAGAGGAGAGATTTGAGATCGCTGGAGAAGAAGGAAGAAATAAGGGCGGGTGAGACAGACAGAGACTCCGCGTATTAGTTTTATAGCCGTTAGCTTCTGGGTTTTTCAGGTTGGTTTGGGCAAGTCGGTTTGGGCGTACATTTGGCGCTGATTTTTGAATTTTGTGAGGAATTTTTTATTTTTTAAATCCCCTTTTTTGGAATAATATTTTAAAGGTAATGCTGGGAGATCAATTTTTAAATTAAATTTGTAAAGCAAATGGTGTGGTGGTTGATTATTAGATTCTTACATAAGTGTTGATTAACGTACTTATTTCCTATTTGTTACAAATCACTTAATTTATAAATTTTAGTTTAAAAATTTAATCTCGATAGCATTATCTCTTCTCTAATAGCCATTCTAGTCCTTTACTTCTATTTAAGGCGAATAATTCTAGGGCTCATTATGGTCTTCTAGACATCAACAAAAAGTAACCTAATTTTGAGGGTTTTTAGTTTTTGACTATTGAATCTTTACATAATTTCTTTGTTTTGTTGTTACCGAATACGTTGATGGCTTCACATGACCTTTTTGCAATGGCAAAAAGTAATATAAAAGGATGTAAAGGCTGACAGATTCTGTGCTCAGGTGTGGATTCCCACCAAGTTTGGGACCGAGCAAGGCACTCGGTACACATTGTTCTAAGAAAACATGCAAGTGGACCTGAATGGATGTCACTGTGTCACCATGTATCGACTAAAGGGTGGAGGAATAGCTAGCAAATCATACATACGTATTGGCGCATTAAATGTGAAAGCGATGGAAGACTTAAGCCTAGGGACTTGGGGCTCATCAAGGGTGAGTACTCCTTAGAATGAGTCAAACAAAAAGAGAGAGACTTGTTTATGCAGACTGCTCTCTATAATGTTTCATTCAATATATGAGTGACTTAGTGGACATAGCCTAGTTTTGAGGGGTATGAGTGACTTAGTGGACATAGCCTAGTTTTGAGGGGTGAACCACTTAAACATTATTGTTCATTTCTTATCATTGCGATCCCGAGCCCACCAAGGGCCGACTACACGACTATACTGATCTTTGTTGACCTCCTAACTTGAGCGTTAACAAGGTTGAGATTGCAGATTGGGGTTCTGATTGCAAATTTGGCTTGAAGGCCCAATACCCATCCCGAATTGAAAAATCAAAACCATTTCGGTAAAATCGGTTCGATTTCAATTTTTTGCCTCCTTTTTTCGAACCTTTCCGGTTCGCTTTTTGGACTTGATGGCCGCAGATGGCGTCTCACCGTAGTAGCAGAAAATAATCATGTCTAAGTATTCTGGTTCTTGTTCAATACACACCAATCTCCCTCCCCTAACTAACACTATTGTTTTGTCAACAAAACAAACAAACAAACAAAAAGAAAAAAAAAACACCCACATTAGTTATTTCATGTTAAAGAAAACAAATACGTTGATCTGATCTTCTATGCCCTGGGAAGGATTTTCATGTTAAAAATTTAGTGGGCTGCCTTCCAAATTTTATTGACAATAAAACTAAAGAAATTTATACTGTATATCCCATATAATGACACATTCACTCGTCAGATAATTTTTAGACAGGGCGACGTGAGAATTATATGGAAATTTGAATGTCAATGTCAGTCTTGTAAATAAGCATCTTACCAAACTTAGTCCAAACTGAACTTTACATCCCAACATAATCTTTACTCTTTAGAAAGGGTGCATAATAAATTTCACATTGTAATAAGTTATAATTTTGTAAATTACTGCTTAAAAACGTGTTTTCACATAACAGTAATAGTCAATGTATCCAAAAAATTAGTCAAATAGAAAAGCAGTACCTCCTTCCTAATGGAATCACTTTGAGGCAGTTAGCAGCTGCACATTGTGAGGTAGTTGGCAACGCAGCATCCAGTTACCATATATGCAATATTGTCAACCATTACTCCAGATATTAATTTCCCTACCACCCCGAGAGTGTCCAGACTTGCCAGATTTTTTTCCCTGCATTCTATGATTAGCTGAAGTAATTGATCTGAAGCTCCATTACGTAGAAAGCGATCAGAAAGTGCAAGAGCAAGATGAACATACTGTCAGCGACTGGAAACAGTAATATTACCTTAAATTTCAGTACGATGACCATACTATCCCAAAACCAAACAAAAGATGAACAGAATAGCCACCCATAACACCCCCTTCCTCCAAAGAAAAACGGGAAATTGCAGTTAATATGCTCCCCAAAAGCAGATAATTCATGCGTGAGAACATAAAGGTATTGAAGATGCTATTCCAACATACGTTACCTTTGAAAACTCGTCTTTTCAGTCCCTTGCTTCTTTAGAACCAGAACTCGCCATACCATCATGCTCTTTTTCTACTGGAAGATCTCTGAGTATGAAGTCATTCCATTTGAAATTGATTAAGAAATGCCAGTTCCAGCTCAGAATTCATAGTAAATAGGCCAACATGTATAGCAAAAATATATCTTTACACGGCTAGATAAGAAGATAAACTACAAGTCAACTAATGGTACTCCCTTAAACACATGCTACGACGGCCACAAGTGAACTAAGATGTTGTAATATACAATAATTCATCAGAAACAGAAATATGCAAACTACTAAAATCAAGAATTTTGTAGCTTTCAAGTAAAGTCTAAGCCAAACAGATGATGACACATAATCAAGAACAAATCATGTGTATTGCTTTTTCTCCAACATTTTATTAAAAGCAAAGGGAAAAGGAAGAGAAATCTTTATTCAAGAAAAGGGAATTAGAAAACAGGATGAACAAGATATCTGCCAGGAACACAACAACAAAGACAAAGTTAAACCAAACAGGATGTTAGACATACAGACACTCATCATAAAAAATTATTGGTAACTGAAAACCATGTACGTAAATTGCGAGTATTGCAATTTCAACTACGTTTTGTAAAAGGGATTTACAAAGTAAGTTATGTAGATCGACACCAATCCTAACAAATACAGAATCAAAGAATACTAAAGAATTAATGAATCATAACTAGAATCACAAAATTTTATTTGACAAAGCAGCATCAAAATCGGATCACTCATTGCACATGGAGTATATATCGGCAGTTGGGACACGTCTTCTTATCCATGTTGAACCAGCGAAGGATGCAAGATGGGTGATAAACATGAGAGCACGGCATCCGAATGAGCTCACTCGCGGTCCCACCAGACAATTCCTCCAAACATACACTGCAAGAACCCAGGTCGCCGTCACCCCTTTCGAAATATCTCTCTGCCCCCAATTTCTCAACCACGTAGTCCAATGAAATTGACGACGAAGTTGAACCGCCATCACTACTACCAATCGAAAGCAAAGCCATTGAGTCGGACATATCATCAAACAGTTGGTCGACATATTCAATGGTCAGGATTTTAACCGTAGCCACCATAACAAAGCCCATGGAGCCATTAGGGTTTGCCAATTTCCGGGCCATGGATTTGATCCGGGGGGCTAATGCTTCGTAGATGGTAGGATCAAGGTTGAGGGAAGAGGAGAGAGATCGTAAGTGAGCGCGCAACTCGGGGAGTGGGAGTTGGCGGGGAGCGAAACGGAGCGTAGCGTAGCGATCAGGACCCAGTGGAAATTCATCGAGAATAAAGGCGTGGAAGCGTTTCTGAAAAATTTGGTCCTGACGGAGAGAAAGCTCGCCGACAAATTGGGACTTAGAGTCCGCCGGAGATTGGAAACCCTGAAGCGTCACATGGACCCAGTAGTCGGAAGATCGGAACGAGAACGATGAACGCTGAAACTCCATTGATCGATTAGAGATTTGAGATCAGACGACCAGAGGTTTGAAAATTTGAAACTTGAAATTCGTTGAGCGAGAGAGAGAGAGAGAGGAGAGATTTGAGATCGCTGGAGAAGAAGGAAGAAATAAGGGCGGGTGAGACAGACAGAGACTCCGCGTATTAGTTTTATAGCCGTTAGCTTCTGGGTTTTTCAGGTTGGTTTGGGCAAGTCGGTTTGGGCGTACATTTGGCGCTGATTTTTGAATTTTGTGAGGAATTTTTTATTTTTTAAATCCCCTTTTTTGGAATAATATTTTAAAGGTAATGCTGGGAGATCAATTTTTAAATTAAATTTGTAAAGCAAATGGTGTGGTGGTTGATTATTAGATTCTTACATAAGTGTTGATTAACGTACTTATTTCCTATTTGTTACAAATCACTTAATTTATAAATTTTAGTTTAAAAATTTAATCTCGATAGCATTATCTCTTCTCTAATAGCCATTCTAGTCCTTTACTTCTATTTAAGGCGAATAATTCTAGGGCTCATTATGGTCTTCTAGACATCAACAAAAAGTAACCTAATTTTGAGGGTTTTTAGTTTTTGACTATTGAATCTTTACATAATTTCTTTGTTTTGTTGTTACCGAATACGTTGATGGCTTCACATGACCTTTTTGCAATGGCAAAAAGTAATATAAAAGGATGTAAAGGCTGACAGATTCTGTGCTCAGGTGTGGATTCCCACCAAGTTTGGGACCGAGCAAGGCACTCGGTACACATTGTTCTAAGAAAACATGCAAGTGGACCTGAATGGATGTCACTGTGTCACCATGTATCGACTAAAGGGTGGAGGAATAGCTAGCAAATCATACATACGTATTGGCGCATTAAATGTGAAAGCGATGGAAGACTTAAGCCTAGGGACTTGGGGCTCATCAAGGGTGAGTACTCCTTAGAATGAGTCAAACAAAAAGAGAGAGACTTGTTTATGCAGACTGCTCTCTATAATGTTTCATTCAATATATGAGTGACTTAGTGGACATAGCCTAGTTTTGAGGGGTATGAGTGACTTAGTGGACATAGCCTAGTTTTGAGGGGTGAACCACTTAAACATTATTGTTCATTTCTTATCATTGCGATCCCGAGCCCACCAAGGGCCGACTACACGACTATACTGATCTTTGTTGACCTCCTAACTTGAGCGTTAACAAGGTTGAGATTGCAGATTGGGGTTCTGATTGCAAATTTGGCTTGAAGGCCCAATACCCATCCCGAATTGAAAAATCAAAACCATTTCGGTAAAATCGGTTCGATTTCAATTTTTTGCCTCCTTTTTTCGAACCTTTCCGGTTCGCTTTTTGGACTTGATGGCCGCAGATGGCGTCTCACCGTAGTAGCAGAAAATAATCATGTCTAAGTATTCTGGTTCTTGTTCAATACACACCAATCTCCCTCCCCTAACTAACACTATTGTTTTGTCAACAAAACAAACAAACAAACAAAAAGAAAAAAAAAACACCCACATTAGTTATTTCATGTTAAAGAAAACAAATACGTTGATCTGATCTTCTATGCCCTGGGAAGGATTTTCATGTTAAAAATTTAGTGGGCTGCCTTCCAAATTTTATTGACAATAAAACTAAAGAAATTTATACTGTATATCCCATATAATGACACATTCACTCGTCAGATAATTTTTAGACAGGGCGACGTGAGAATTATATGGAAATTTGAATGTCAATGTCAGTCTTGTAAATAAGCATCTTACCAAACTTAGTCCAAACTGAACTTTACATCCCAACATAATCTTTACTCTTTAGAAAGGGTGCATAATAAATTTCACATTGTAATAAGTTATAATTTTGTAAATTACTGCTTAAAAACGTGTTTTCACATAACAGTAATAGTCAATGTATCCAAAAAATTAGTCAAATAGAAAAGCAGTACCTCCTTCCTAATGGAATCACTTTGAGGCAGTTAGCAGCTGCACATTGTGAGGTAGTTGGCAACGCAGCATCCAGTTACCATATATGCAATATTGTCAACCATTACTCCAGATATTAATTTCCCTACCACCCCGAGAGTGTCCAGACTTGCCAGATTTTTTTCCCTGCATTCTATGATTAGCTGAAGTAATTGATCTGAAGCTCCATTACGTAGAAAGCGATCAGAAAGTGCAAGAGCAAGATGAACATACTGTCAGCGACTGGAAACAGTAATATTACCTTAAATTTCAGTACGATGACCATACTATCCCAAAACCAAACAAAAGATGAACAGAATAGCCACCCATAACACCCCCTTCCTCCAAAGAAAAACGGGAAATTGCAGTTAATATGCTCCCCAAAAGCAGATAATTCATGCGTGAGAACATAAAGGTATTGAAGATGCTATTCCAACATACGTTACCTTTGAAAACTCGTCTTTTCAGTCCCTTGCTTCTTTAGAACCAGAACTCGCCATACCATCATGCTCTTTTTCTACTGGAAGATCTCTGAGTATGAAGTCATTCCATTTGAAATTGATTAAGAAATGCCAGTTCCAGCTCAGAATTCATAGTAAATAGGCCAACATGTATAGCAAAAATATATCTTTACACGGCTAGATAAGAAGATAAACTACAAGTCAACTAATGGTACTCCCTTAAACACATGCTACGACGGCCACAAGTGAACTAAGATGTTGTAATATACAATAATTCATCAGAAACAGAAATATGCAAACTACTAAAATCAAGAATTTTGTAGCTTTCAAGTAAAGTCTAAGCCAAACGGACCATGACACATAATCAAGAACAAATCATGTGTATTGCTTTTTCTCCAACATTTTATTAAAAGCAAAGGGAAAAGGAAGAGAAATCTTTATTCAAGAAAAGGGAATTAGAAAATAGGATGAACAAGATATCTGCCAGGAACACAACAACAAAGACAAAGTTAAACCAAACAGGATGTTAGACATACAGACACTCATCATAACAAATAATTGGTAACTGAAAACCATGTAAGTAAATTGCGAGTATTGCAATTTCAACTACGTTTTGTAAAAGGGATTTACAAAGTAAGTTATATAGATCGACACCAATCCTAACAAATACAGAATCAAAGAATACTAAAGAATTAATGAATCATAACTAGAATCACAAAATTTTATTTGACAAAGCAGCATCAAAATTGGGTCACTCATTGCACATGGAGTATATATCGGCAGTTGGGACACGTCTTCTTATCCATGTTGAACCAGCGAAGGATGCAAGATGGGTGATAAACATGAGAGCACGGCATCCGAATGAGCTCACTCGCGGTCCCACCAGACAATTCCTCCAAACATACACTGCAAGAACCCAGGTCGCCGTCACCCCTTTCGAAATATCTCTCTGCCCCCAATTTCTCAACCACAAAGTCCAATGAAATTGACGACGAAGTTGAACCGCCATCACTACTACCAATCGAAAGCAAAGCCATTGAGTCGGACATATCATCAAACAGTTGGTTGACATATTCAATGGTCAGGATTTTAACCGTAGCCACCATAACAAAGCCCATGGAGCCATTAGGGTTTGCCAATTTCCGGGCCATGGATTTGATCCGGGGGGCTAATGCTTCGTAGATGGCAGGATCAAGGTTGAGGGAAGAGGAGAGAGATCGTAAGTGAGCGCGCAACTCGGGGAGTAGGAGTTGGCGGGGAGTGAAACGGAGCGTAGCGTAGCGATCAGGACCCAGTGGAAATTCATCGAGAATAAAGGCGTGGAAGCGTTTCTGAAAAATTTGGTCCTGACGGAGAGAAAGCTCGCCGACAAATTGGGACTTAGAGTCCACCGGAGATTGGAAACCCTGAAGCGTCACATGGACCCAGTAGTCGGAAGATCGGAACGAGAACGACGAACGCTGAAACTCCATTGATCGATTAGAGATTTGAGATCAGACGACCAGAGGTTTGAAAATTTGAAACTTGAAATTCGTTGAGCGAGAGAGAGAGACAGAGAGACAGAGACAGAGACAGAGAGATGAGAGATTTGAGAACGCGGGAGAAGAAGGAAGAAAGAAGGGCGGGTGAGACAGACAGAGACTCCGCGTATTAGTTTTATAGCCGTTAGCTTCTGGGGTTTTCAGGTCGGTTTGGGCGTACATTTGGCGCTGATTTTTGAATTTTGTGGGGAATTTTTTATTTTTTATTTTTTAAATCCCCTTTTGTGGAATAATATTTTAAAGGTAATGCTAGGAGATCAATTTTTTAAATTAAATTTGTAAAGCAAATGGTGTAGTGGTTGATTATTGGATTATTACATAAGTGTTGATTAACGTGCTTATTTTCTATTTGTTACACATCATTTGATTTGAAAATTTTAGTTTAAAAATTTAATCTCGATAGCATTATCCCTTCTCTAATGGCCATTCTAGTCCTTTACTTCTATTTAAGGCGAATAATTCTAGGGCTCATTATGGTCTTCTAAACTTCAACAAAAAGTAACCTAATTTTGAGGGTTTTTAGTTGCTGACTATTAAATCTTTACATAATTTCTTTGTTTTGTTGTTATCGAATACGTTGATGGCTTCACATGACCTTTTTGCAATGGCAAAAAGTAATATAAAAGTAAGGTTCTAAAAACATTAGGCGCTAGTCGGACGTTGGGCTAGCGCTAGTCGGTACTTTTTAAATAAATTTATAAATATATAAGTCCATTTTTACACACGCAAAAATCATACTTGTTGAAAAAAATAAAATACAAAACATACAAAATAAATATTTGTTATAAAATATAAGTATTGTATAAAACTTTAGAGTTTTTTTAAGACCATAATTATTATTGGGTCTTATTTTGTTTAAAAAATTAAAATTGGGCCTGCTACAAATCTTGAAACAAAGTACATAACCTTTTAATTAATAAAAAACCTACCAACGAATATAGCCGCACCCACCCCCACATTTCTCTCTATCTCATTTGTAGATTGCCAATTTCTCTCTTCGATCTCACTCTTTGCAGCGCTATCTTTCTCCCCCCGTCCCCCTTCGCAGCAAATCGTCTCTCTCCTTCCTTCTCTCTCTTTCACTCCCTCCTCGTCGGATTTTGTAGGAGATCTGAGGTTTGGGTGCAACTCAAGGTAGAAGGCAATGAGAAAACGGCAACTGCGAGCTCAAAAGAAGGCAACATAGTGACAAGACCGCCTAGCACCATCGCCTAGACACCGCATAGGCCGCCTATGAGCTCCCAGACGGGCGCCTAACACATCCTCGCTTTTTCTCCCCCAATTGGCACCTAATCGGAGCGGCACCTCACTGACCAACGCCTAGGCGCCGCCTAGACCTATTTTAGAACACTATATAAAAGGACGTAAAGGTTGACAGATTCTACGCTCAAGTGTGGATTCCCACCAACTCCGAGACCGAGCAAGGGGCTCGGTACATGTTGTCCCAAGAAAACATGCAAGTGGACCTGAATGGATGTCACCATATATCAACTAAAGGGTGGAGGAATAGCTAGCAAATCATACTTACGTATTTGGCGCATTAAATGCGAAAGCGATGGAAGACTTAAGCCTATGGACTTGGGGCTCATCAAGGGTGAATACTCCTTAGAATGAGTCAGACAAAAAGAGAGAGACTTGTTTATGCCGACTAATCTCGGTAACATTTCATTCAATATATACAAGTGACTGAATGGACATAGCCTAGTTTTGAGGGATGAATCACTTAAACTTTATTGTTCATTTCTTATCATTGCGATCTCGAGCCCACCAAGGGCTAACTACACGACCATACTGATCTTTGTTAACCTCCTAATTTAAGCGTTAACAAGGTTGAGATTGGAGATTGCAGATTGGGGTTCTGATTGCAAATTTGGCTTGAAGGCCCAATACCCATCCCGAATCGAAAAATCGAAACCATTTCAGTAAAATCGGTTTGATTTAAATTTTTTGCCTCCTTTTTCCGAACCTTTCCGATTCGCTTTTCAAACTTGATGGCCGCAGATGCGCCTCACCATAATAGCGGAAAACAATCATGTCTATATATTTTGGTTCTTGTTCAATACACACTGATCTCCCTCCCCTAACAACTAACACTTTAACTTACTAACACTATCATTTTGTCACCAAAAAAAAACCCGCATTAGTTACTTCATGTTAAAGAAAACAAATACGTTGATCTAATTTTCTATGCCCTGGGAAGGATTTTCATGTTAAAAATTTAGTGGCGTGCCTTCAAAATTTTATCGACAATAAAACTAAAGAAACTTAAACTGTATATCCCATGTAATGACACATTCACTCGTGAGATAATCTTTAGACAAGGTGACGTGAGAATTATATGGAAATTTGAATGTCAATGTCAGTCTTGTAAATAAGTATCTTACCAAACTTAGTCCAAACTGAACTTTACATCCTAACATAATCTTTACTCTCTAGAAAGGGTGCATAATAAATTTCACATTGTAATAAGTTATAATTTTGTAAATTACTGCTTAGAAACGTGTGTTCACATAACAGTAATAGTCAATATATCCCAAAATACACAATCAAATAAAATAAGATGAAATGAAAAAAAATTTCTTTGAAGTTGATAAAAAATTATTTATAGTTTGGCAGGGTTTTCAAAAGAAATTGTAACAAAAACCGCAAGAATAAAAGTTAGAATTCGTCCCAGAACTTGTACCCAAGTTTAGAATTATTTCCTTAACAAAATTTCGTTAATTTACGTCTTTGAATGTAACAAAACGTGCACTACTACTCCATGCTGTTAACTCCTGTAAATAAAATTCCGTTAATTTACGTCTTTGAATGTAACAAAAACCAGAAGAAATCTTTATTCAAGAGAAGGAAATTAAAAAACAGGATGAACAAGATATCCGCCAGGAACACAAGAACAAAGCTAAACCAAACAATGTATGTAAATTGTGAGTATTGCAATTTCAACCACGTTTTGTAAAATGGATTTACAAAGTAACTTACACATATCGACACTTATCCTAACTAATAAAGAATCAACGAATACTAAAGAAATGATGAGTCGCAAACTTTTATTTGACAAAGCAGCAGCAAGTAGCAACATCGGGTCACTCACTCCACATGGAGTTGATATCGGCAGTTGGGAATCATCTTCTTATCCATGTTGAACCAGCGAAGGATGCAAGATGGGTGATAGCCATGAGAGCACGGCATCCAAATGAGCTCACTCGCAGTCCCACCAGACAATTCCTCCAAACATACACTGCAAGAACCCAAGTCGTCATCTCCCCTTTCGAAAAATTTCTCTGCCCCCAATTTCTCAACCACGAAGTCCAAAGAAATTGACGACGAAGTTGAACCGCCATTGCTACTACCATTCGCAAGCAAAGCCATTGAGTCGGACAAATCATCAAACGGTTGGTCGACATATTCAATGGTCAGGATTTTAAGCGTAACCACCATAACAAAGCCCATGGAGCCATTAGGGTTTGCCAACTTCCGAGCCATGGATTTGATCTGGGGGGCTAGTGCTTCGTAGATGGCAGGATCGAGGTTGAGGGAAGAGGAGAGAGATCGTAAGTGAGCGCGCAACTCGGGGAGTAGGAGTTGGTGGGGAGCGAAACCGAGCGTAGCGATCAGGAGCCAGTGGAAATTCATCGAGAATAAAGGCGTGGAAGCGTTTCTGAAAAACCTCTATATAAAGAGGTACTTGCATCATGAAGAAAACACAAAAATAGAGAAATTCATGTAAGCTACGCCAGTGCTAAAGAGATAAAAGAGAAATATAGTGATAGATATTTTTGCACTCCTATTATTTCAAATAATAATAGATAGTACTACTGCTGCCTCCATTACTTCTTACTTTGCAAGAAGTAATTATACTTATGCACTCTGGTGTGGGTTTGTTCCCATTGATCGCCCTCCCCCTAACAATTAATAATTTAACACACTAATTTTATCGTTTGTTAAAGAAAAAAAAAATACCTTGTGGCCAAATTAGTAATTTCATGTTAAAGAAAATAATAAAGAAACCTTGATGGCGACAAATAATTTAAAAAAATTGCATCGGCTACCTGACGTGGCGACACAATAGTCATTGGATTTTCAATGGCCTGATGATCTGAAAAGTCGGATTCAATAATAAAAAATAAAAAAAATCAAACGGCAAGGATTAATTCAATCGTTAAATATGGAAAACAAACATAAGAAAATAAATGGGAATAAAAAGAAAAAAGTTAGGAAAAAATATCCAGCCATCTTCTTCATTCGCCTTTTATGTTTAGTTTGTAAGACTAAACTTATCAAAAATATAAGTTAAGAGATTAAGCTCATGAACCACAAATTTATACAAGTATTAAAATTACAATTTGATAAACACAATGACAAACTAACCCGTAAAAACAATAGAAGAAGAAGCCAAAGCCGACTTCGAAACAGTGCACCTTCTCCTGTCTTGCAAAACCAAAAGTACTCAAACTAACAATAGGTCTTAGTTCAATATTAAACGAATGTTTTGTGAGAGCATTGCCTTATGTTTTTATACTAAACATAGATTGCCCTATTACAATCCTACAAGGAATACAAGGCTATATTCCTTATATTAGTATGAGTCCTATAAATGAGCAAACACAAGAGTCCTCAATATACCAATATGATTGGATTAACTCTTATCAACATGTTTTAGACTTCTTTATAATATCAATTATCCCAAGACTTGTAAGAATCATACTCATACTCTTACATTCTCCCACTTGAGTATGATTCATCACAACAGATAATCATCTCAAATTATTATAAAGGTGATCACATAAGTCATTCATCAATATACTAGTACATAGACACAACAAGCTTACATAAACCAAAACAATGAATTTATAATTGCCTCTGCAACACAAAATATAGATTTAAATTACAAATCACAATGTCCAGTTCATGTTCATAGCAATGTATCTAAGCTCAAGAGTAAACCAAGACGTCTACTCCCACTCATATAGCCCAAAATTGAAATAAAAAATAGCAGACATTCTTGACAGTAAGCTGTCAACTTAAAATTATTCATAATTATATGAATAACACAGTTATGATCCAATCAACAACTTTATCATATTCATAGAAGTAATCACTAAATCTTTTGGATAACAAGAAACCAAAGGGAACGAGAAACTAAAGGGAACAAGAAACTAAAGAGGTTTCAATTTGATGCAACATTTTACTCATATCTTGCTTCTTCTTTTGAGAAAATAGAAGAAGCAAGAATCCATTTCCACTGCCTAAATAGTAAAATAGGTTAATAGAGTATAAACGCAACAGGAGGAAACTAATTTACGATCAAATCAGGAAACCAAGCATCACGGGAGTCCTAATCATAATATATTTCTATTTCCAACACTCACCTAAAGCTGGGGCAAGAATGTTGATCATGTTCAGCTTGTCTTTTGAGAAAGTAACGATTATATTAAAACCCGAAAGCGGGAAGAACAGAGGAGTGGTCAAGAAGACCATCACAGACAACCAGAGCCACTCAACCACAAAACCTCAGAAACATAATCAACAATTTAACAACAAAATAATAACTAAAACTACTAAATAATTCAGATATATACATACGAATGTAATCTAGTCAAGCAATTTAACAATATAATAATAAATCAATTTTTATATCTAAAATGACTACTAAGTAATTGTTTTGGACCTCGGCCAATAATAACTAAAACAAATCACTCTTCAAAATGGAGAGACCTTAGGCTATGTTTGGTTGAGGGATTTCGAACCATGAGGCCAAGTTAGCATTGAATGGATTACAACATGTTAGATACAGGGATTTAGAAATGCACTTCATAAGCATTAAAAAAAGCATGAGAAAAGGGATTTGCAGATGACTACATGGAAGGAGTCATTACAAATCCCTCATACATGCCTTTGTGATGGTCAGAAGTGCATTTGTGATCACCCTTTGTAGTCTCTGTCTTCCTCACTTGGCCTAAATCTCTTGGGACTTAAAAGTTCCTGACCCAATCATAGCCTTGGAGTTTCGTATTCCTCCGTCTCACTTCTATACCAATCATTTGAGTAGAGTACAGAACTACCATACTCGGTCACATAAACGATGAACCAGCATGCACTAGATTACTTGTCAAGAACGTGAACTGGGATAAGTGAACCCCTTACCATATTAATTAATTTCTGGTAAGGTCCATCTGAACTGACACACGATGGATCTCTCAAGCTAACACTTATTTTGAGGAGTACATCGTAAGCTGCCTCCCTGACTGCTTCATCCTTGGCCTATGAATCAAGAAACACTAAAAATTATTAACAGATCCATTGTCTCATATTCAGAAGCTGTGGCTGATAATTAGACTCAAAATCAAATACAGATGATTCAAAAGGCTCATATTCTGAGTCAGACTCGAAAATTCATAGAGAGTAAGCTAGGCAACCTCAATAAGATGGAACTACACAACAAGAGTAATAACAAAAGGATATGTCACAACGTTAAGCAAATCATCACTATTCTACACGTAGTTCTTACATCTTTTAACTTGAGTATGATCTCATTGAGAATAAGAAACGACTTTGAATTTTCTACCTCTGAGTCTATCTGCAAAAATCAATTATAAAGGTTAAACAATATATTCAATTGACCACTAATCCCACAAAAACTCTCACAGTTGCAAATGTATGGCAGAAAAAGAATACATGCTTACACAGAATAACTATAGGATGCTGACAGAAGGTATTGAGAAACTTTTATTTTGAAGAAATGAACAAATAAGAAATGATTATACATATACAACTATAGCTGGTACAAAAGCTTAAGATCTCGGATACTCAAGAAATTGATGCCAAGTTCTTTGATTTAAAATGACAAAAGTCATGGGCTCACGCACTTGGTTACCAAGATACATACATGTTTATTATCAAAATACAAACAAGTTTATTACCAATATACGACCATAGCTTGTAACACAGGGTTTTACACCTCGGACACTCAAGGAAGTGATGCAAAGTTCTTTGATGTAAAATGACAAAACTCATAGGCTTGGTTAACAATTTTCCACTCCACATGAATAGTATCACTGAATGGTATTGCTTCCATGTCATCTTTCCCTGCCTTCTAAAGAATACTCTCAACCTCAACAAGTGGACACCCATAACCCATCGAAAGCAAACCTCTGGCTCAATTGATACTAATAAACAATACCCTCTATATATCTATATTTCTCTAATACACAGAAGGCTGCATGTGTGCACGTACAACATAACAAATGTCTCTGAAACAAATCAAGACTTCTATTACTCTATCAAGACAATGGCACAATTTCAATATTTCTAAATGATAGATATGAATGACATTCTTAAACAGAAACACAGATAAATCTAATTTTGCTTTTCTAGAATAATTCAAACCAATCGGGCCCACATAAAAGCCATAGGTATTTGGCAGCAACAATAAGTCAAATTATGAGCGTTAATAAATCAAATTCTATTATCATAATTCAAAATTGAAAATCATGATGCAAGCTTCCAAGTTTCAAGCAAGTCAATGAGAAGTCTTACATCTGCTTGAGACAACAAAATAGCAGCAAAACAAATTTTCCACCCAATCTAATTACACAGGCTCTAACTCGAAAGTAAAAGAGCATATGTATACACCAAATATTAGTCTAATCTTTATGCAGAAAAAGATAATTTCATACATATCATATTAATCACAAGATTACCAGTTTCTTAAAATGATAAAAAACATAACTGCATATACCCAATTTGCATTCAATTTGATTTTCACTGGTGTTATCTGTCGAAAGTCATTCAATGATGTCAAATAAAATTTTATAACTCTATATCTCAATTAAAATTGGCCGATCAAGATTTCAAAGAGACAATATTGACTGACTGAATAATTTGGCCCTTACAGCAACGCTATACGTATATCCCGGTATATAACCAATTTCAATACTGAATAACAAAAGTATTAACCATAGTCCAGTGAACAAAGCCCATGGTGCCACACCTTGCCAAGACACCTGTTCAATTGATCAAAACACCCATCACTCATCTAGCATCACCTCAACGGTACATTGTCAGCAAGGCTTGGACAGCTGTGCATAGATAAGGATGAGCAAGAAGAATATTCTTTTAGGGTTTCAAATAGTCATGTATATAAATACTATTGTTTTACTCTTTATATTTTGAGCATTAGGTCAATCAAAATGTGACATATATGGAAAACTAATTAAACAAACAAAAAACATAAAAAAAAAACGAATGCCTTTCTCCGAACATATTTATTTGATATGTGTATTATCATCTTCTCCACCTAGTCTCCTAATACCGTCTCACCAGATCTCAAGTTTAAACGTTCTGTCACATTACTGTTTTACTACAGGAGTGCACCACATTCTCATAATTAACAAGCAAAGCCCGCGAAATGCCTTAACAGATAAAATTACTAATCGATGTTCTTAAATTCTATTTAAAACTTCACAAATCTTGTCTATTTATGAATAGTAAGTTAGTAACCGGAGGTGCTAGAGTACTGAAAAAAAAAACATTACCTATAGCTAATGGTTCACAGCAATTTAGCACTAATAGAATCTAAAGAATTAGTCAAATAGAAAAGCAGTACCTCCTTCCTAATGGAATCACTTTGAGGCAGTTAGCAGCTGCACATTGTGAGGTAGTTGGCAACGCAGCATCCAGTTACAATATATGCAATACTGCCAACCATTACTCCAGATATTAATTTCCCTACCACCCCGAGAGTGTCCAGACTTGCCAGAGTTTTTTCCCTGCATTCTATGATTAGCTGAAGTAATTGATCTGAAGCTCCATTACGTAGAAAGCAATCAGAAAGTGCAAGAGCAAGATGAACATACTGTCAGCGACTGGAAACAGTAATATTACCTTAAATTTCAGTACGATGACCATAGTATCCCAAAACCAAACAAAACATGAACAGAATAGCCACCCATGACACCCCCTTCCTCCAAAGAAAAAAGGGAAATTGCTGTTAATATGCTCCCCAAAAGCAGATAAGTCATGCATGAGAACATAAAGGTATTGAGGATGCTATTCCAACATACGTTACCTTTGAAAAGTCGTCTTTTCAGTCCCTTGCTTGTTTAGAACCAGAACTCGCCATACTATCATGCTCTTTTTCAACTGGAAGATCTCTGAGTATGAAGTCATTCCATTTGAAATTGATTAAGAAATGCCAGTTCCAGCTCAGAATTCAAAGTAAATAGGCCAACATGTATAGCAAAAATATATCTTTACACGGCTAGATAAGAAGATAAACGACAAGTCAACTAATGGTACTCCCTTAAACACATGCTACGACGGCCACAAGTGAACTAAGATGTCGTAATATACAATAATTCATCAGAAACAGAAATATGCAAACTACTAAAATCAAGAATTTTGTAGCTTTCAAGTAAAGTCTAAGCCAAACAGATCATGACACATAATCAAGAACAAATCATGTGTATTGCTTTTTCTCCAACATTTTATTAAAAGCAAAGGGAAAAAGAAGGGAAATCGTTATTCAAGAAAAGGGAATTAGAAAACAGGATGAACAAGTTATCCGCCAGGAACACAACAACAAAGACAAAGTTAAACCAAACAGGATGTTAGACATACAGACACTCATCATAAAAAATAATTGGTAACTGAAAACCATGTACGTAAATTGCGAGTATTGCAATTTCAACTACGTTTTGTAAAAGGGATTTACAAAGTAAGTTATATAGATCGACACCAATCCTAACAAATACAGAATCAAAGAATACTAAAGAATTAATGAATCATAACTAGAATCACAAAATTTTATTTGACAAAGCAGCTTCAAAATCGGGTCATTCATCGCACATGGAGTTTATATCGGCAGTTGGGACACGTCTTCTTATCCATGTTGAACCAGCGAAGGATGCAAGATGGGTGATAGACATGAGAGCATGGCATCCGAATGAGCTCACTTGCGGTCCCACCAGACAATTCCTCCAAACATACACTGCAAGAACCCAGGTCGCCGTCACCCCTTTCGAAATATCTCTCTGCCCCCAATTTCTCAACCACAAAGTCCAATGAAATTGACGACGAAGTTGAACCGCCATCACTACTACCAATCGAAAGCAAAGCCATTGAGTCGGACATATCATCAAACAGTTGGTCGACATATTCAATGGTCAGGATTCTAACCGTAGCCACCATAACAAAGCCCACGGAGCCATTAGGGTTTGCCAATTTCCGGGCCATGGATTTGATCCGGGGGGCTAATGCTTCGTAGATGGCAGGATCAAGGTTAAGGGAAGAGGAGAGAGATCGTAAGTGAGCGCGCAACTCGGGGAGTAGGAGTTGGCGGGGAGCGAAACGGAGCGTAGCGTAGCGATCAGGACCCAGTGGAAATTCATCGAGAATAAAGGCGTGGAAGCGTTTCTGAAAAATTTGGTCCTGACGGAGAGAGAGCTCGCCGATAAATTGGGACTTAGAGTCCGCCGGAGATTGGAAACCCTGAAGCGTCACATGGACCCAGTAGTCGGAAGATCGGAACGAGAACGACGAACGCTGAAACTCCATTGATCGATTAGAGATTTGAGATCAGACGACCAGAGGTTTGAAAATTTGAAACTTGAAATTCGTTGAGCGAGAGAGAGATGAGAGATTTAAGATCGCTGGAGAAGAAGGAAGAAATAAGGGCGGGTGAGGCAGACAGAGACTCCGCGTATTAGTTTTATAGCCGTTAGCTTCTGGGTTTTTCAGGTTGGTTTGGACAAGTCGGTTTGGGAGTACATTTGGCGCTGATTTTGAATTTTGTGAGGAATTTTTTATTTTTTAAATCCTCTTTTTTGGAATAATATTTTAAAGGTAATGCTAGGAGATCAATTTTTAAATTAAATTTGTAAAGCAAATGGTGTGGTGGTTGATTATTAGATTATTATATAAGTGTTGATTAACGTACTTATTTCCTATTTGTTACACATCACTTAATTTATAAATTTTAGTTTAAAAATTTAATCTCGATAGCATTATCTCTTCTCTAATGGCCATTCTAGTCCTTTACTTCTATTTAAGGTGAATAATTCTAGGGCTCATTATGGTCTTCTAGACTTCAACTAAAAGTAACCTAATTTTGAGGGTTTTTAGTTGCTGACTATTGAATCTTTACATAATTTCTTTGTTTTGTTGTTATCGAATATGTTGATGGCTTCACATGACCTTTTTGCAATGGCAAAAAGTAATATAAAAGGATGTAAGGGCTGACAGATTCTGTGCTCAGGTGTGGATTCCCACCAAGTTCGGGACCGAGCAAGGTGCTCGGTACACATTGTTCTAAGAAAACATGCAAGTGGACCTGAACGGATGTCATTGTGTCACCATGTATCGACTAAAGGGTGGAGGAATAGCTAGCAAATCATACATACGTATTTGGTGCATTAAATGCGAAAGCGATGGAAGACTTAAGCCTAGGGACTTGGGGCTCATCAAGGGTGAGTACTCCTTAGAATGAGTCAGACAAAAAGAGAGAGACTTGTTTATGCCGACTACTCTCTGTAATGTTTCATTCAATATACGAGTGACTTAGTGGACATAGCCTAATTTTGAGGGGTAAACCACTTAAACATTATTGTTCATTTCTTATCATTGCGATCCCGAGCCCACCAAGGGCCAACTACACGACCATACTGATCTTTGTTAACCTCCTAACTTAAGCGTTAACAAGGTTGAGATTGCAGATTGGGGTTCTGATTGCAAATTTGGCTTGAAGGCCCAATACCCATCCCGAATTGAAAAATCAAAACCATTTCGGTAAAATCAGTTCGATTTCAATTTTTTGCCTCCCTTTTCCGAACCTTTCCGGTTCGCTTTTTGGACTTGATGGCCGCAGATGGCGTCTCACCGTAGTAGCGGAAAACAATCATGTCTATGTATTATGGTTCTTGTTCAATACACACCAATCTCCCTCCCCTAACAACTAACACTATCGTTTTGTCAAATAAAAAAAAATAAAAAATAAAAAATAAAAAAAACCCCACATTAGTTATTTCATGTTAAAGAAAACAAATACATTGATCTGCTCTTCTATGCCCCAGGAAGGATTTTCATGTTAAATATTTAGTGGGCTGCCTTCAAAATTTTATCGACAATAAAACTAAAGAAATTTAAACTGTATATCCCATGTAATGACACATTCACTTGTCAGATAATCTTTAGACAGGGTGACGTAAGAATTATATGGAAATTTGAATGTCAATGTCAGTCTTGTAAATAAGCATCTTACCAAACTTAGTCCAAACTAAACTTTACATCCTAACATAATCTTTACTCTTTAGAAAGAGTGCATAATAAATTTCACATTGTAATAAGTTATAATTTTGTAAATTACTGCTTAAAAACGTGTTTTCACATAACAGTAATAGTCAATGTATCCAAAAATACACAATCAAATAAAATAAGATGAAATGAAAAATATTTCTTTAAAGTTGATAAAAATTTATTTATAGTTTGGCAGAAAAACACAAGAATAAAAGTCAGAATTCGTCCTAGAACGTGTACCCGAGTTTAGAATTATTTCCTTAACAAAATTTCGTTAATTTACGTCTTTGAATGTAACAAAAACCAGAAGAAATCTTTATTGAAGAAAAGGAAATTAAAAAACAGGATGAACAAGATAATCCGCCAGGAACACAAGAACAAAGGCAAAGCTAAACCAAACAATGCATGTAAATTGTGAGTATTGCAATTTCAACCACGTTTTGTAAAATGGATTTACAAAGTAACTTACACATATCGACACTTATCCTAACTAATAAAGAATCAACGAATACTAAGGAAATGATGAATCGCAAACTTTTGTTTGACAAAGCAGCAGCAACATCGGGTCACTCACTCCACATGGAGTTGATATCGGCAGTTGGGACATGTCTTCTTACCCATGTTGAACCAGCGAAGGATGCAAGGTGGGTGATAGACATGAGAGCACGGCATCCGAATGAGCTCACTCGCAGTCCCACTAGACAATTCCTCCAAACATACACTGCAAGAACCCAAGTCGTCGTCTCCCCTTTCGAAAAATTTCTCTGCCCCCAATTTCTCAACCACAAAGTCCAAAGAAATTGACGACGAAGTTGAACCACCATCGCTACTACCATTCGCAAGCAAAGCCATTGAGTCGGACAAATCATCAAACGGTGGGTCGACATATTCAATGGTCAGGATTTTAACCGTAGCCACCATAACAAAGCCCATGGAGCCATTAGGGTTTGCCAATTTCCGGGCCATGGATTTGATCTGGGGGGCTAGTGCTTCGTAGATGGCAGGATCGAGGTTAAGGGAAGAGGAGAGAGATCGTAAGTTAGCGCGCAACTCGGGGAGTAGGAGTTGGCGGGGAGCGAAACGGAGCGTAGCGTAGCGATCAGGACCCAGTGGAAATTCATCGAGAATAAAGGCGTGGAACCGTTTCTGAAAAATCTGGTGTTGACGGAGAGAAAGCTCGCCGACAAATTGGGACTTAAAGTCCGCTGGAGATGGGAAACCCTGCAGCGTCACATGGACCCAGTAGTCAGAAGATCGGAACGAGAACGACGAGCGCTGAAACTCCATTGATATCGATCAGAGATTTAAAAATTTGAAACTTGAAATTTGATGAGAGAGAGAGAGAGAGAGAGAGAGAGAGAAAGAGAAAGAGTGATGAGAGATTTGAGTTCGCTGGAGAAAAAGGAAGAAATAAGGGCGGGTGAGACAGAGAGAATCCGCGTACTGGTTTTATAGCCGTTAGCTTCAGCTCTAGGCAAGTCGGTTTAGGCGGACATTTGACGCTAATTTTTGAATTTTGTTGGGTTTTTTTTTTTTTTTTTTAAGTTTTTTAAAGGCCGTTGTAGTGCTTTAATTCTCTTTTTTCGAATAAATTTTGAGGGTTTTTAGTTGCTACTTATTGAATCTTTGCATGATTTTGTTGTATATGGAGGTGCGAACGCTCATTGTAATAAGCAATTAAATATGACCGTAGCTTTGCAATGTTGTCAAAGAAAATATCTTGATAAGTTTGTTAGGTTGGAAAACATGGTCAACCAAATATAACCAAGGAAGCCACTTAGTACTACAGTCTAGTGGTATTCCTCTTCATTAGTGAGTGGGAAGTCTTAGGTTTGATTCTCGTCAAAGGGGAATTTGAATCATTTTATTGTTAGTTCATTGTGAGACTAAGCTCACCCCCTCTCCTTTAGTATAGATAATATTGATGTTAAAATATATATATATATATATATATATATATATATATATATATGAAAACCTCTATATAAGGAGGTACTTGCATCATTGAAGAACATAACACAAAATTAGAGAAATTCATGTAAGCTACGCCAGTGCTAAAGAGATAGAGAGAAAAATAGTGATGGATATTTTTGTACTCCTATTATTTCAGATAATGATAGATGGTACTACTGCGGCCTCCACTGCTTACATCCTCAATTTCACAACAAATTTCTTATTTTGTTTGTTATCGAATACTTTGATGGTTGTAGATGGCGCTTTACTACTTTGCCAGAAGTAATCATGCTTATGCACTTTGGTGTGGGTTCGTCCCCATTGATTGCCCTCCCCCTAACAACTAATAATTTAACACACTAACATTATCGTTTGTCAAAGAAAAAAAATACCTTGGTTGCCATATTAGTAATTTCATGTTAAAGAAAATATAAAAAAAGAACCTTGATGGCGACAAATAATAAAAAAAAAAATTGCATTGGCTAAAAAAAAAAAAAAATCAAATGGCAAGGATTAATTCAATCGTTAAATATGGAAAACAAACATAAGAAAATAAATGGGAATAAAAAGATAAAGGTTAGGAAAAAGTATCCAACCATCTTCTTCATTCGCCGTTTATGTTTAGTTAACTATGATTGTTGCAACACTATGTTTTGCTTTGTATTTGAAATTAAACTATCAGAGTTAAACATGGAGTTTAATTTTCAAAAAAACAAACTTACATAGTTCACGCTCACAAGGCATAACATAACAATGTATATATAAATAGTAATCGCCCTTGCCCTTTCCCAAACCTAACGAGTGAAGGAGTTGCCCAAAGACAATTACTTTTCAGACGGTAATTACCCTTACCTTGTCCTCCTAAAACAGATAAACAATAGTTTTGTTCCAACTTAAAAAAGAGACCGAAGTACCGACTTGGAACGAAAAAAATTAAAATTTGAGGGCAAAAGTGAAACAACTTCAAATGAGAGATTTATAATTAAATCAGAAATCCACTTTAACAATCCATCTTTTCTTCTTTATCAAGTTGCCTCTTCTACAAAATAGCTACAAGATCAAAAGAAAACATAAATAAAATTTCACGGTGTATGCCACCAAATATATAATTTAAACAAACATATCAAACACATGTAGGGGAAACAAAAAAATGGGTATATAAAAGCCGTCAAGCTAAAATCCCTAGACCCAAATATAGCAAGAATCAGCTTAGGCATTTGCTTCAGGCTTCTCCGAAAGAATCGGAAGTACGAAAGCCATTCCTAGCGAGACTCGGGCCCTGGATGTAGAGCAAGATGCCACATTGCCATATCTTTAAACTGCAAGCTCCATGTGAAAAAGAAACTCATGGGTAATGTTACGGGGCAGGTTTTTTTACGCTCCACATATGCAGCTGCAATCCCATATCGAGGAAATCCCTACTCAACTATCTAGTTTTTTCTCCCAACCTTCTTGTGTTTGAATGATTTGGATGAAGTGTGAGGTCTAGGCATCGCAGCTGCATCCTTCCTCGTATTTGTGCTATCTGTCTTCCTCTTGAAGCCACTTGCGGGACCTTTACTATATTTCTCTTTATTTGTCTTTCCACTTCTTTCTGACTGGTCTTTATTTGATTTTACTCCATCAGATTGCCTACCTTTATTAGTCCGCTTGAATCCATCACCGCCAGAAGTATGAAGCTCGTCGGTTCTCTGGTTGTTAGGAATGTGTCTCTTCAACCTTTTCATCTCTCTATGTTCCATTGATCCATTCTTTTCATGTGGCTTACCAAATCTCTTGCGCTTTTTATCCTCCGTCCTATTAAAAAGAGTTCAAGAGAAATGAGTAGATGTAAACTACATACAGTTAGTGTATTGGACAATAAAACAAATTGTACAAAAATATCAGACCGGTTGGTTGTAGTGTCTGCATGACCCGTGTCTATATCGGTTGTTGCAACTTCCTTGGAAGATTTCTTGTTATGGCGGCTCTGCAGTAAGATTTGCATTGTAAAATCAATTTCTTATTTGGTTCAACTAAATATATGTGTGTATACGTATGTATGTATACACCCACACACACAAATATATTCATATTTTCTCTCTGAAATTTACAACGTCAAATTTGACGGAGTAATAGGAAAGAATTCCAGATCATGTATTACGAAGCTCAATTCTTGCAGGAATTGTTCCAGCATGAGTACCCCAAACTTAACCACCAAATCCGTTTAATACATGGAAACTAAAGAAATTACCTCCACAATACCCTTCAGGAAACCCTTGTATTTATCAGGTGTAGCAAACTGAACTGATGCAGTACCGCACTTCCTTAACAAAATCTCCATTATGACTGTAGCCTGTAGGTAAAATGGTGCTGATTAAGGTGCTAAAAGTAAAAATATTTGCAAACATAAATATGTGAGTGCATTTGTCGAGGCACTAAAAGCATTATTGCTAAATCTGTACATGCCTTTGATCTGAAATGATGTCTCGAAACAGGTGACCATGGGAGAACTGCATTGACAATATCAGGAAGAAGCCGTTGCAGAGGTCTAGTCTCTAAACAGGATACTAATACTTTTACAAAGCCCAAAACAGCCTGTTAAATGTGTAGGAACAAACTCATTAGCATTTCAGGCCCAGCAAAAACACTCAATAGACAAAAAAACACTAATTGTGATCAGAAGTAATGACACTCACTTTTATGACTTCTAAAGCTTTCCCTTGCAACAAAGATAAAATAGAGGGAACAAGATCGGGCATTGAAAGACAAATATCTGTATCTTTATACACTAGCACTGATAGCACAGACACTGCTCCACTCTTTATGTGAGGTGATGCACCGGTAAGATAGCCCATTATCTGAATATTATAAAATAATCAGTCGATAAACATAAGCAGAAAAAGCTCATCCAACAAGAGCATAACGCAGGTAAGCATGCAAAGCATGGAGCAAGCTAATTTCAATTTGCTAGATATTAGTCATATTACTTGTATAACGAACGAGAAATTAAAGGGAACAAGAACTAAAGAGGTTTCAATTTGATGCAACATTTTACTCATATCTTGCTTCTTCTTTGAGAAAATAGAAGAAGAAAATAGAAGAAGCAAGAATCCATTTCCACTGCCTAAATAGTAAAATAGGTTAATAGAGTATAAACGCAACAGGAGGAAACCAATTTACGATCAAATCAGGAAACCAAGCATTATGGGAGTCCTAATCATAATATATTTCTATTTCCAACACTCACCTAAAGCTGGGGCAAGAATGTTGATCATGTTCAGCTTGTCTTTTGAGAAAGTAACGATTATATTAAAACCCGAAAGAGGGAAGAACAGAGGAGTGGTCAAGAAGACCATCACAGACAACCAGAGCCACTCAACCACAAAACCTCAGAAACATAATCAAGAATAATTCAGATATATACATATGAATGTAATCAAGTCAAGCAATTTAACAATATAATAATAAATAAATTTTTCTATCTAAAATGACTACTAAGTAATTGTTTTGGACCTCGGCCCCTAATAACTAAAACAAATCACTCTTCAAAATGGAGAGACCTTAGACTATGTTTGGTTGAGGGACTTCGAACCATGAGGCCAAGTTAGCATTGAATGGATTACAACATGTTAGATATAGGGATTTAGAAATGCACTTCATAAGCATTAAAAAAAGCATGAGAAAAGAGATTTGCAAATGACTACATGGAAGGAGTCATTTACAAATCCCTCATACATGCCTTTGTGATGGTCAGAAGTGCATTTGTGATCACCCTTTGTAGTCTCTGTCTTCCTCACTTGGCCTAAATCCCTTGGGACTTAAAAGTTCCTGACCCAATCATAGCCTTGGAGTTTCGTATTCCTCCGTCTCACTTCTATACCAATCATTTGAGTAGAGTACAGAACTACCATACTCAGTCACATAAACGATGAACCAGCATTCACTAGATTACTTGTCAAGAACTTGAACTGGGATAAGTGAACCCCTTACCATATTAATTAATTTCTGGTAAGGTCCATCTGAACTGACAAACGATGGATCTCTCAAGCTAACACTTATTTTGAGGAGTACATCGTAAGCTGCCTCCCTGACTGCTTCATCCTTGGCCTACGAATCAAGAAACACTAAAAATTATTAGCAAATCCATTGTCTCATATTCAGAAGCTGTGCCTGATAGTTAAGACTCAAAATCAAATACAGAAGATTCAAAAGGCTCATATTCTAAGTCAGACTCGAAAATTCATAGAGAGTAAGCTAGGCAACCTCAATAAGATGGAACAACACAACAAGAGTAATAACAAAAGGATATGTCACAACGTTAAGCAAATCATCACTATTCTACACGTAGTTCTTACATCTTTTAACTTGAGTATGATCTCATTGAGAATAAGAAACGACTTTGAATTTTCTACCTCTGAGTCTATCTGCAAAAATCAATTACAAGGATTAAACAAAATATTCAATTGACCATTAATCCCACAAAAACTCCACAGTTGCACATGTCCGG